TTAGCAATTCGGGGTCTTTTGTTGCCCCATATAAATTTTAGGATTCTTTGTTCTAATTCTGTAAAGAATGTCATTGGGATTCTGATTGGGATAGCGTTGAATCTGTAGATTGCTTTAGGTAAAACGGACATTTTAACTATGTTTATTCTTCCAATCCATGTACATGGAATGTCTTTCCATCTCCTTATGTCGTCATCCACTTCTCTCAGAAAGGCCTTGTAATTTTCATTATATAGGTCCTTCACTTTCTTAGTTAAATTTACCCCGAGGTATTTTATTCTTTTTGTTGCGATTGTGAATGGTATTGTGTTCTTGAGTTCTTTTTCTGTTAGTTCGTTGTTAGAATATAGAAATGCTACTGATTTATGCAAATTGATTTTATACCCTGCAACTTTGCTGTAGTTGTTGATTACTTCTAAGAGTTTTCCAATGGATTCTTTGGGGTTTTCTATATATAAGATCATGTCGTCTGCAAACAGTGAGAGTTTCACTTCTTCCCTCCCTATTTGGATTCCTTTTATTCCTTTATCTTGCCTGATTGCTCTGGCCAGGACCTCCAGTACTATGTTAAATAAGAGTGGTGATAGAGGGCATCCTTGTCTCGTTCCTGTTTTCAGGGGGATGGCACTCAGTTTTTGCCCATTGAGTATGATGTTGGCTGTGGGCTTGTCATATATGGCCTTTATTATGTTGAGGTAGTTCCCTTCTATGCCCATTTTGTTCAGAGTTTTTATCATAAATGGCTGTTGGATCTTGTCAAATGCTTTCTCTGCATCTATTGAGATGATCATGTGGTTTTTATTCCTCAGTTTGTTGATGTGGTGTATCACGTTGATTGATTTGCGGATGTTGAACCATCCCTGTGTCCCTGGTATGAATCCCACTTGATCATGATGTATGATCCTTTTGATGAATTGCTGAATTCTGGTAGCCAAAATTTTGTTTAGAATTTTTGCATCTATGTTCATCAGTGACATTGGCCTGTAGTTCTCTTTTTTCGTGGCGTCCTTGTCTGGCTTTGGTATCAGCGTGATGTTGGCCTCATAGAATGTGCTAGGAAGTTTTCCATCTTCCCTAACTTTTTGGAATAGCTTGAAAAGGATAGGTATTAAATCCTCTCTGAAAGTTTGGTAGAATCCCCCAGGGAAGCCATCTGGTCCCGGGGTTTTATTCTTTGGGATGTTTTTGATTGCTGTTTCAATCTCTTTCCTTGTGATTGGTCTGTTCAAATTGTCTGCTTTTTCTTGAGTGAGCTTTGGGAGAGTGTAGGAGTCCAAGAATTTATCCATTTCCTCTAGGTTATCCATTCTGTTAGCACAGAGGTTTTCGTAGTATTCTCTTATAATCCGTTGTATTTCTGCAGAGTCTTGTTATTTCTTCTCTTTCATTTCTGATTTTATTTATTTGAGCTTTCTCCCTTTTTTTCTTTGTAAGTCTGGCTAGGGGTTTGTCAATTTTATTTATCTTCTCAAAGAACCAGCTCTTTGTTTCATTGATCCTTTCTACCGCCTTTTTCATTTCAATGGTACTTATTTCTGCTCTGAGTTTTATTATTTCTCTCCTTCTGCTGACTTTGGGCTTTATTTGTTCTTCTTTCTCTAGTTCAGTTAGGTGTAGTTTAAGATTGCTTATTTGGGATTTTTCTTGTTTGTTAAGATGTGCCTGTATTGCGATGAATTTTCCTCTTAATACAGCTTTTGCTGTATCCCATATGAGTTGGTATGGCATGTTATCATTTTCATTAGTTTCCAGGTATTTTTTTATTTCTTCTTTAATTTCTTCAATGATCCATTGCTTGTTCAGTAGTGTGTTGTTTAGTCTCCACATCTTTGTGCCTTTCTTAGCTTTTTTCTTGTAATTAATTTCTAGCCTTATAGCACTATGATCTGAGAAGATGCTTGTTATTATTTCAATTTTTTTAAATTTGTAGAGGCTTGCCTTGTTTCCCAGCATATGGTCTATCCTAGAGAATGTTCCATGTGCACTCGAGAAGAATGTGTATTCTGTTTTTTTAGGGTGAAGTGATCTATATATGTCTATTAAGTCCAATTGTTTTAGTTTTTCATTTAGCCCCACTATTTCTTTGTTGATTTTTCTGTCTGGATGATCTGTCCATTGATGTGAGTGGGGTGTTGAGGTCCCCTACTATTATTGTGTTGTTCTTAACATCTTCCTTTAGGTCTGTTAATAGTTGCTTTATGAACCTTGGTGCTCCTATGTTGGGTGCATAGATATTTATAAGCGGTATTTCTTCTTGATGAAGTGTCCCTTTGATCGTTATATATTGTCCCTGTGTGTCTCTCTTTACCTGTCTTATTTTGAAATCCACTTTGTCTGATATAAGAATTGCAACACCTGCTTTTTTTTCCTTGCTATTAGCTTGAAGTATTGTCCTCCACCCCTTCACTCTGAGCCTGTGTTTGTCCTTGGGGCTGAGGTGTGTTTCCTGGAGGCAACAAACTGTTGGATCTTGTTCTTTAATCCATTTTGCCACTCTGTGTCTTTTTATTGGAGAGTTCAATCCATTTACATTGAGAGTGATTATTGATGCATGTGGACTTAAAGCTGCCAATCTGTTGCTCATTATCTGGCTTTCCTGCTTTTCTCTTCCTGTGTGCTTTATCCTACCCATTTGATACTGCAATTTCTTATACTGGGTTTCTTAGATTTTTCCTTATTTATGATTTGTGACTCTGTTCTGTACTTTATTTTAGTGTCTACCCTGAAGTTTGTATTTAGAATCTCGTGCATAATATCATCTATTCGCTGGTGGTCTCTTACTTACTTGGCCTACACTAATTTAGTCCCTTTGCTCTTCCCCTCCTAAATTATTATTTTCACTTCTTGTTCCAACTTGTGTTATGAGTTTGTAGTTAGAGTGATAAGATCGTCCTTGTTTTGGTAGTTTCCTTACCTTTATCCTAACGCTATAGTTGAATATTTGCTATCCTGTTCTGGTTCTATCCATCGGTCTCCCTAGTCTGTGGTTTGTGACCCCTTTCTCCCTTTTTTCTTTTTTCAGGTATGAGAGCCTTCTTGAGGATTTCTTGTAGTGGAGGACTTTTGATTACAAATTCCCTTAACTTTTGTTTGTCTGGAAAAGATTTAATTTCTCCCTCATATCTGAAGGATATTCTTGCTGGATAGAGTATTCTTGGCTGAAGATTTTTATCTTTTAAAGCTTTGAATATGTCACTCCGTTCTCTCCTAGCTTGTAAGGTTTCTGCAGAGAAATCTGCTGAAAGTCTGATAGGGGCTCCTTTGTAGGTAATTCTCTTTTGTTGTGCAGCCCTGAGTATTCTTTCTTTGTCATTCCTTTTTGCCATTTTTACTACTATATGCCTTGCAGTAGGTCTTTTTACATTGACAAATCTAGGAGATCTGAAAGCTTCCTCTACACACATTTCTCCCTCAATCCCTAGATTTGGGAAGTTCTCTTCTATAATTTCATTAAGCACACTTTCTGCTCCATTTTCCTTTTCTACGTTCTTGGGAATTCCTATGATCCTTAAATTCTTTCTCCTCATTGAATCTGCTATCTCTCTAATACTTTCCTCATTCCTTTTAATCCTTAGTTCTCTTTCTTCCTCTGTCTGGAGCCATTCAGCCATTCATAATCTTCGATTATGCTAATTTGCTCTTCTATGGAGTCTACCCGGGCATTCAGGGAATCCGTATTCTGTTTTATCTGGTCCATTGTGTTTTTCATCTCTAGTAATTCTGTTTGATTCTTCTTTATAATTTCAATCTCTTTTGTGAAGTAACTCCAGAACTTGGCTTGTTTCTCTATCTTTCTCTCTATCTCATTGAGTTTTTTGATTATAGCTGCTCTGAACTCATTTTCATTTAGTTTACCTAATCCCAAGTCCTCAGGACTTAATTCTACGTTGTTATTGTTTTCCTTCTGGTCTGGGGCTTTTATAAATTGCTGGATGGTAGAGGAGCGGTTTTTTCGCATGGTCGTAGAATTCGGTTGCAGTTACCACCTGTTGCCACTAGATGGGGGTCGATAGCCGCATGTTCTGAGCTCTCTGCCTTTGGGCAAGATGTCGGCGCCCAGTGCACTTTGCCGGGGCGGGGGCGGTTTCTCTCGTGCACCGATCTGGATTCGATCAGTTCTGTTCTCTGGTCTCCCGGGGCCCTGCGTTTATGGGGTCCCCGCGGAAGCTTTCCCCCATCAGCGGGTTTCCACTGTACTAGCGGCGGGAGTCCTAGATGATCTCCTGGTCGCGCGGCCCCTCCCCCGCTCCTTCCTGGACCCGCACGGCGATCCCGGTTTCTAGGGGATGGAGCGATGTTCCCTCTTACCCCGTTCCAGCTCCTCCGAGGCGGGCAGTAGGGGCTCCGTCTTCTGTCTTTTGATACTGTAGGTCTCTGAGTCCTGGCATTAGGTTCATTAGCTGAAATTCAGGGCTTTTTTTTTTTTTTTTTTCAGTCCCTTGTCGTACTTTGGAGGGGAGAGAGTCCCGGGTCAGCTCACCCCACCATTTTGCTCCGCATCCTTCTGAGAATTGTCAATTTTAATTCAAGCAATGCAAGTATTTATTCAGTCAAAGGAACAAAATAAGCCTCTTAAAAACTCAAGATTTATGGATTAATATTAGAAATTATCTCAATATAATACATAGAATATTCTGATTGCCACTGAATTACACTGCACAAAGACATGTATCAATTGCTTTATGGGTTATAATCAAGTATAACAGGTCACTAAACCTTCCTGACCAAAATGCCACTGTAATTTTACAGGCAAAGTCCTATAAGGTGAATGTAATAATAGCCACATCTTTTCAAAAACAGAACACGGAGGTTTTCGTTTTGACAACTACGTATTTAGTTTTCCAAAATCTGGTTCCCAAGGCCAAGTTCTAAATGTTCCAGCAGAGGTGGGGCAGGAGTGGAAAGAAATGACTTCATGGAACTCCGAAGAAAAAAAATAACTATCGTAGACCTTAGTTTGAAAAATATATCTGGCATAAGAGATACTCAAAATTACATAATAATGCTTGTATCAAAGTTTATTCGTTAGCCAAAGGGCAAAGACTAAGAGGCAAGTAAAATGTCATATTTGCTTTTAACAAAGCAGACTGAATAGCATGTTAAGTGTTAGGGTGGAATAGGAAAGAACTCAAGCTGGGCAAAAACTTCTTCTTGGACTTTCTATATAAACATCTATTTTAGTGTTGAATTGTTCCCCAGTGTGCTCATGTGATGGAGAGGAGGCACTCTGCCCACCCACGAAACGCTTCCCAGACCAACAGGTCCCTGTCCAGCTGCTCTAGAAAGGCAGCTCGTCCTCTGAGGTCCTCGGGGCCCCACAGAAGCATGGAAGTAAAGGAGGATGGAATCCAATTTGCATAGAAAGTTAACCCATCCTAATTGGACTCTGAAGTGAACTGAGTTATTTAAATACCAGCTAAAGTACAGACTCCGGCTAAAAACCATGGGTAAGTACCTGTCTTGAAAATGCCTCTAAGAGGTCATGCTGTGATCTTGAAGTTTACTGGCCCTTTGTTCTCCCAGAATAAGAGCTTTATAAGGTCCTGGAAATGCTCAGCGCCCTTCAGCTGGCTTTCCAAATAAAATCTTAGTGACTATAATTTAAGTCCTTTTTTGGGCTTTGTAATCCTTCAACCAAAAAGGCTGCAGTTGTTTTATGTAATGTTTGTTTCATTGGAAAATGTAGGGGCATTTTGATATTACCCAAGTAAGATCAACAGGTAAGCACTGTCCATCCCAAACCAAACGATGCTGCCTTCAGGGAGTTGTTGGAAAGCAGATCAAATGATCCACGAAGAAAGCACATTCTACCCACAAGCAAAGCCCTTCAGCACAGCCCCAACGTGCTCTTTACCAGGAGGCTCCAGGCCACTCGGCAATTTCAAGTGTGAGGCAACAGAAGTCTTTCTTACTTGAAAGTCATAAGCTTCTGAAGAACTTCAAGCACAATTTTATAACAAAAGTAATACTGCTCCTATATACACATAAATGAAAAACAACAGAACGTTAAGTAATTGAATACCGATGTCTACTTTCAGAGAACACATTTGTAATTTTCAACCACTAAGGACAGCTCCTAAAAAGAGCAAATATTTAACCAAAACCTTCTTTATGTAAATACATATTTTAAAATATCATGAAGATAAGTGATCATAATCTAGTTCTTGGTCTGGAACCAGCTCATGAAGGCTTACATGAACAGAGGGGAAACTGACTGTCACTTGCCATCTCCCTACATCTTCCCTGCATAAATCAACTTAAATTTTTTTTTAGGCGCAGCCTCAGGTCTCTCAGATAACCCTGGTTCAAATAAAATGCTTCATATTATTCAACATTGGCCTAAAAGTAGGTCAACCTGAAGATTAGGGACCTGTTTGTTTTCATTATCCATATTCTCTTGACCCCCTCCGCCATGATTTATAACTAGTCTGTGCCATAAATGATATCTTTTAATGACATGCCAATGACTTTCATATTTTAGTGGCAAGTAAATATCCCAAAATTGCTATCCATAAATTTATGAAAAATGACTTTGGATATGTTACTTAAACAACATGGCGCTGTGGACAAGGCAGGAGCTGGGGACCAGGAGCCTGCAGTCTCAGTCCTGGCTCCTCCACTTGCCATCTGAATGACCTTAAGGGACGGACTTCACTGCTCTGAACCTGAAGTACATCATCAATAACATGAGAACAAAATTAATATCCACCTCAAACAGTGAGAATTCAATGAAATCGTATAGGTAAAAGAGCTTTATAAATTGTAAAGTGCTGTACGATATTAATCTTTATATTCATTCTTCTTCCTATTAGATTTATGTGGTGGGAGCTTACCTTTGTTTGAATCATGCCACAACGTTGTTGTCTCATTTGAGCCACTATATCGCTGATGTTGAACTGTAAGGGGATGACAGTAATTTTGTATTATCCACACAAGGGGAAAACACAAACCCACAGATTGCCAAATAAGTACTCCATACTTCTTTCCAGTAAAAGAGATGTCAAGATTTAACCAGAAAGTTCTCGTTTTCAGTCATAAGAAAATGTACTATTTTTAACCTAGCCTAATGGATAAGGAAGACTTGTTTAAATGGGTTTCCAGGAAAAAGCAGGAAGCAATCATTTATAACAAGAAATGCTCTCCAAAAGAACTAACAACAAATTTGCCCCTGTGTATCCTTTTCTGTTCTCCAAAGGGAGAACCTAAAGCAGCATTTTAATTCTGGAAAAGTCTGAAGCATAGAAGACTTTTCTGGCCACGATAGTCACACAGCTGTTTCTCATATAAAGAGCCCTCTCAACTCAAATGGAGACCCTGAGCAATAGTTGGCCCGACACCAGATTCTGCACCTGTGCACGGAGACCAACACTACCCAGCGCGGTCACTGAGCTGAGGCAGGCCTGCAAAGGTCTGCTTCTAGCCCACAATGAGTCCAGAAACTGGCAGGAAGTGTTTAGAAATTCTTCTGGCAATCTGATAGTGGCACAGCACCGAGGACCATCACCAGTTCAATAGCATATAGACCAGCTCGGGTGTTGCTGAACTCGCCTGCAGAGTCACATGTGGTGCAAGCTGAAGACCCGTCATGTGCATCAAGACCATGTGGACACATGAAATTTTAAGGTTTGTCCACTACAACCCCAAAGTATATAAAAATCAGAGAAAATGTAAGCATCCCTTTATTTTTATAACTTGTCACTTTTATAATAATTATTTAAGCTTTTAAAAGTTTTTATATTGAAATAATTATAGATACACAGTAATCTGCAAACAAAAATGTACAGAGAGATCCTGTGTATCGTTCATCCAGTTTCCCCCAATTACACCATCCTATATAACTATAGTATAATATCAAAACCAGGAAATTGACATTGGTACTATCCAGAGAGCTTATTCAGAGGTTGCCAGGTTTATACGCAATCGTTTGTGACTGTGAGTGTGTGTGAGAGTATGTAGTTCTATGCAATGTTATCACGTGAAGATTCATGTAACCACAACCACAATCACGATACATAACTGCTCCACCACAAGACTTCCTCATGCAGCTGTTAGAACTACCCAGCCACTGCAATTCCAAACCCTGGGCAACCAGCAGTGTGTTCTCCATCTCCACAGTTTTGTTATTTCAAGAGGATTATATGAATGGAATCACTGACATCTAACCTTTTGAGATGGACTTTTTTTTCATTCAGCATAATTGCCCTAAGATCCATCTAACTGTGTGCATCGAGAGTTCATTACCTGTTATTGCTAAATAGTATCCCATGGTGTGGACATGGACCAGTTTGTTTAACCATCAACTTATTGAAGAGCATCTAGGTTGTTTCCAGTTTGGGGATATTAGGTATAGATCTGCTATGAACATTTACGTACACGTTTTTGTGTGAATATAAGTTTTCATTTCTCCAGGATAAATACCCAAGAGTGCTATTGCTGGGGTTATATGGTAAGTTTAGTTTAGTTTCTGGTTTTTTTCTTTTAAAGAAATTGTAAAACTATTTTCTGGAACAGGTATACCATTTTACTCTCCTACAAGCAATATATGATTAATTCAGTTTCTTCAGATCTTCACCAGCATTTGGTGTTGTCACTATTTTTTATCTTAGCCTTTCTGACAGATGTCTAGTGATATTTCATCATTGTTTTCCTTTCATTCCCTAAAGGCTAATGAAGCAGAGCATCTTTTCGTGTGCTTCTTTATCACCTACATATCCTCTTTGGTGAAATGTCTGTTCATGTCTTATACCCATTTTCTAACTGGATTGCTTTTTTGTTTTTTGGTGTTTTTACTATTGAGTTTTGACGATTCTTTATATATTCTAGATGTAAGAACTTTGTTGGATAATATGGTTTGCAAACAGTTTCTCCAAATCTGTAGCTTGGCTTTTCATCCTCTTCAAAGAACAAATGATTTTAATTTGCTTTCTGCCTAATATCAGTGATGGCAAGAACCTGTGCTCCCACCATCTGTATTCCACACAGCACTTGAAGTTCTAGGCAGCACAAGAAGGCCGGAGGGAAATAAGAAGCTATAGATTAGAAAGGAAAAGATAAATCTGTCCCTATTTGCAGACGGAATGACTGTGTTTGTACAAATCCCAAGGAATCTAAAAACCAAACAAAACAGAACAAAGAAAGTCTTAGAACTAACAAGTGAGTTCAATAAGATCACAGGACACAGGATCAACATGCAAAAATCAAGAGCATTTCCACACAGTAACAATGAACATGTGGAACTGACAGTAAAAACACAATACCACCATTAATCACTTTAAAGAAAATGAAATAGGATGAATCTAACAAAACACATACAGGATCTGTGTGCTGAAAATGACAAAACGCTAATAAAAGAAGTCAAGGAAGACCTAAACAAATGGAGAGACATGTCGTGTTCACGGATTGGAAGATTCGACATAGTAAAAATGTCAATTCCCTTGGGGCTGGCCCCGTGGCCGAGTGGTTAAGTTCGCGCGCTCCGCTGCAGGCGGCCCAGTGTTTCGTTAGTTCGAATCCTGGGCGCGGACATGGCACTGCTCATCAGACCACGCTGAGGCAGCGTCCCACATGCCACAACTAGAAGAACCCACAACCAAGAATATACAACTATGTACCGGGGGGCTTTGGGGAGAAAAAGGAAAAAATAAAATCTTAAAAAAAAAAAAGTCAGTTCTCCCAAAATTGATCTATAGATTTAAAGCAATTCCTGTAAAAATTCCTGCAAACGTTTTTGTAGACATAGACAAGCTAATTCTAAAATTTATATGAGAAATCACAGACCCTAAAACAGTTAAACAATTTTGAAAAAGAAGAATCGAGTGGGAGAAATCACTCTACCTGACGTTAAGACTTACTATATAGTGACAGGAATCCAAAGTGTGATACTGGCAAAAGTATAGACACACAGATCCCGGAACAGAATACACAACCAGAAACAGGCCTATACAACTACGCCCAGTGATTTCCGACAAAGGTACGAAAGCAATTCAGTGGAGCAAGAATAGCTTTTCCAACAAATGGCGCTGGAACAATTGGACATCTGTAGGCAAGAAAAGAAAAAAAAGAGAAACTTGACCTAAACTTCACACCTTATACAAATATTAACCCCAAATTTATGACTTTGACTTAATTATGGACTATGGACTTGAAGGTAAAACATAAAACTACAGAACTTTCAGAAAACAACATAGGAAAGATTCTTGGAGACCAGGCGAGGCGCTGAGCTCTCAGCATGCTCCATACAAGGAACATTGATAAAACGAACCCTCAACGAATTTCAAAACCATTGCTTCTCTGAAAGCCTGTTTTTTAATTTATAATTTAGGATTAGGAAATTATGGAAATAAATGTGTATTATTCATTTTTAACCTTAGTTTACTGATAGCAAAACAAACTTCACTGGATTGTCTTGTCAAGAGAGGACACGGCTTCCTGAAGGCAGCTGTAGTGGTTAACCCAGTGATGATGGTGGAAGGACTGCAGAGAAATGAAGACCGACACAGCGCACGTTAACTTTGCCTGGAACGAGGGCTCCTCACATAGTGAGTCTTGTAGCCATTCTCGATTGTGGATTGCTAAAACCACACTTGTGTTAATTACAAAGATGTACTGGCTAACAAAGCAAAGGAACCATTAAAATTTACTTGTCATTTACATAAAAAATGAAGTAAGTTCAAAGACAAAAGAATTATTTTAAAGAATATTAAATTTAAAAGGCAACAAAAGGTGATGTTCAATATTTTACATGATGCTTGGCAGGCTTACAAATAGCACTTTGGATTGCTAAGACTAAAAACCCATATATGATTGCCAGGACAATGGTGAAAGACTGCACTAAGGATGTTTTCTTGGAAACTTTGGGAAAATATGTGGCAAAAAAGATAGTTAAAGTATCATTTTCTGATGCCACGGTTTGACAAATTCAGGGACTGGCTAATGAAATGGAGTGGTACCAACTCTGGAAACAAACGCAAGTAAGAAAGTATTTACTACTGCAATTTAATGACTGCGTAGACATTGCTAACACAGAGATTCTTTCAGTGTGTGTGTGAGTTGAACACGAGGTGATAGGAAGGAAGAATTCTTCCTTTATTCAGTCTGATTACTGACAAATACACTAGATCTAAACTGTATAAAAATGCAGAGTACTACACTGTCAACAAATGTGATGTGGAGCTGAAGCTGTGTGGAGGATTACGTTCTGGAGGCAGAGCTTCTAGCCCAGAACACAGCCTGAGGCAGTTACACAGGTTAAGGAATTTAAGCCAGAAGATAAATCAACACATTGCTTCATCAAGAAAGTCTTGCTACGGGAAAACCTGCAAGATGAACTCAACAGTGTACTTAGTGGTGCAGTAAGAATTTTTAATTATGTAAAGCCTAATGTGCTAAATTTTAGATTCTTCACTTCATTATGTGTAAATATGGAAACTGTTAATTAACGGCTGCTATCGCATGCATGCTGAAGATGGCTAGAGGGGAAGTTCTATGGAGAGTGTTTGAGCTACAGAACACTCTGAATGTTTCTGCAAGATAAGAGCCAGTTTGTTCCCAAGGCTTTAAAGAAATGACAAAATCCGGCCATTTGTGACAACATGGATGGACCTTGAGGGTATTATGCTGAGTGAAATAAGTCAGAGGGAGAAAGTCAAATACCATATGATCTCACTCATAAGTAGAAGATAAAAACGACAAAAAAAAAAAAAACCACATAGCATTGGAGATTGGACTGGTGGTTACCATTGGGGAAGGGGGGAGGGGGGAGGGCAAAAGGGGTGATTAGGGTCACATGTGAGGGGATGCACTATAATTAGTGTTCGGGTGGTGAACATGATGTAATGTATACAGAATTCGAAATACGATGTACATCCGAAAAAAAAAATTAAAAAGATTTTTGAGCAGGCTTGATTAAAAATGAAAAGGGCTATAAAAATAAAAATTAATAAAAAGAAATAAATGGTTACATATTCCCAGGTTTTCACATCCTTTAGCGTTGTAATGGATAAACTAATCTTAAAATGTCACAGGTCACAACTTGTCCAGTTGCACATGGCTGGTATGCAGCTTGCAGCATTAAGACTCTCATGTGAGTTCCACAGCACACAAACTGGTCTACACCCTGTTCAACAAGACCAACCCACTGTCACGCTTTTGGATGGCACAGCAATATGCAAACTGCTTGGAAAGTTTCAATGCTTACTCTCAATTTCTATAAACTTATCTTGCTGCAGATAACAAACACCCACAGATGGGTGCTGGTCCAAGACCATTTCTGAGTAGCTCTGGTGGACAAAAGTTTTGAAGAGAGTAGAGAGGGGCATCGGCAAGAACATTTGACAGTTCAAGTCTCTACGGAAAGCCAAGAAGGAAACAACAAATGTATTTCCTATTTTTGAACCCCTGGATTTCATTAACTCTAACCATCCTTAATTATAAAATGCATCATTATTTCATATACCACTAAGAAAAAACTGTCAATTAAACTGACAGATAACTTACCATAAAACACATTTTGAGTTTAAAGAAGGTATAATGGGGAAAAAACAGTGCTCCTTGGAATCATGAAATATAATATTTACAGTTTTTGCAAGAGATATAAAATAAGGACAAATATAAACAAATTAAGAAATTCTGATGGAGAATATATAAAAGAAAAATTATGCTAATGCATTTTCTGCTAAAAGAATAAAACATTAGTTATGGAAATGAGTAACATCAGACTCATACTACTTACATCTTCAGCATTTTTGAGGACATTTGTCTTTTGTTTTTGGCCACCCAAAAAAAGTTTAGATTCATTCTTTGTAACAAAACCCTGAGTTTGTTCTGGAGAACCGTTCCTCTCTCATTCTCAGCCTTATGGCCTGGGGGAGTCCTGATAGGCCTAAATGGACAGCATCTCCCACGGTGGTGAGTTCAGGGAAGGGCTGTAGCCCAGTGGGAAACAGTGAGATGCAAGGTGAACTGGATCATGCTTCTGAGAAAAAGAAACTCCCTCTGTCCTCCAGGGAGCTACTGCAAGAGGAGACGCTGTTTTCCTGCCGTGCCACATAATGCGGCGTGAGGATGGTGGGCTCCGGGACCCATGCAGCCGTTTTGCAAGCCCAGTGGAGAGCCTGGCACCGTTGGAGCCCAACTATGTAAAGCCCAAAGCCCGAGAGAGCAGATTTGACCACTGTCCTGACAAGGGAACTCTGCAGCATCTGCCCACAGGGCAGACACCCCGCGGCTCCTGCTTTCTTCTGGCTGAGGTGTGGAGTTTCCTACTCCTTGTGGTCGTGGTAAGAGCCACTCTGCCCCTAGTACCTGCTAGGTAAACAGATGTCCCCCCTCCTCACTTCTGCAGCACAGCAAAGCAGCTCAGTGAGTCAGCCTTTTTGGTCACAGATCTAAAGCCACATTCCCTAATCAGTTTAATCCACAATAGAGGTAACAGTACATTCACCATGTGTCTAATAACTAATTACTGATATTCTTAGTCGGCTCCAAATTTAGGAGGAAAGTAAGGAATTGTTACTGATTGACTCAAACCCAACAATATTATTATGCCTATTTTACATATGAGAAAAGTGGGTTTCAGAGAGGATGAGTCATTTGCACAGTCACTGAACTCTAAAGCATGTGGCAAAGCTGGCAGTCAAACCCAGGGACCTCTCATTAACTCTGGAGTCTACGTTTCTTCCCGTGTGCTCACAAGCGTGTGCTTCTGTTCATTAAGAACAGGCGCACTTCACTGACATCTCTAACAAGAGTCTACAAACTGCCTGTATGGGGGAGGGAAGGAAAAGGAAAATGAACTCCCATTACTGTGTGCGTCCTAGGCTGCAGACACTGTCCTAAGCCACTCCTTTGTGTAATGTACTTTAATCCTCACAGCCACCTCCAGGAACCTGCAGCAGTTAAGTGAGAAGCAGGTACCCCAAACTTATGTGCTTTCTATTTACTAAGTTGCTCTTGAAAGCCAAATACTCGCCTTCAGATATTAGAAGGCTGTTGAAAGTAGAGTGTTTACTAACAGCATTGGTTTATCTGCTTCATTCACACACTTACTGAAAAGTTCTTTTCAATGGCACAGAACACAACATCCACACATATGAACACCCCGGTCCGGCCCACGCCAGCACTGCAGTGAACAACCAGGGGTCCTGTGAGGTGGCTCCTTCTCACATAGCGCACATACTTTATAAAACCATCTACCGAGGCAGGAGTGCCATGGTCTGGCCAGTTGGTGAACTGCAAGTGCTTTATAGCATGCCGAGCTCCTGTCTGTTGAGAGACAGAGAAAGGGAGAGAGGAGAGAGGGAGGGAGAGAAAAAGGCAGAGGGGAGGGACGGGGAGAGAGGGGACAGAGAAAGAGGGAGAGGGAGGGGGAGGGGGGAGGGAGGGAGAAAGGGAGAGAAGAAGAAAGAGAGGGAGGGAGAGAGAGAGGCAAGAGAGAGGAGAGAGAGAAGAGAAATTTATCAATTTCTTATATTAGAGATCTCATTTCAATTTCTAATACACCAATAATAATAATAATAATAATAATAATAATAATGGCTATATGGTAATACAATAAGAAAAATAAGAAAACTGACAGGTAACATGAACTGTGCCAGCTACTGTGCTAAGGACTTCACAAGCATTATCTCCTATGGTCCTCACATTGACCCTGGGAGGCAGGCGCTATTTCATCCTCAATTTATAGATTAGAAGGTAAGGATTAGGGTGACTGACAGGTGTACACTCGGTCAGAAGGCCACATGTTTAGAGCTGGGACTGTAATGTAGGCCTGTAAAACCAAATCTATTATCTTTTTTCTGTACCACAAGGTTGCAGAAAATCCAAGAATCCAAAAAACAGAGTGAAAGGTGGGCTAAAATATTAGGAATAAGATAGAAAAGCAATCTATCTTGACTTAAATACTATGACACTAAATTCTATTAAAACAGGTAGGTGCTTGCCCAGGGGCCACCAACCTCCTCTGGCAATGAGGACAGGGCGGTTGAGGACCATGCCAGTGGCCTGTGGCCCCCACTCTTGTGCTGAGCCTCCCGGAGGTGGAGTCACGGAACTCTCCTCAGGGTTGGCAGTTTACCAGTCATCCTTCCAAAGGGACCGCCCTTCCCATTTTAATTCACTGGAGACCCTCATGGGGAAACAAGACGGGTTTCTCACTCCTCCTATGCTTCTCCCTAAGGCACCTCTTGTTCCTAAGTTCCAGATAAAAATAAGTTTCCTAAGTTCCAAATAGAAAACTCAAGTTTGACCCATTGGTGCATAAAATTGAATGATACAAACAATACTTGAAAATCCTGTGAAGGTACCAAGTGGAGGATAGCTCTCACCCTGCCACAGAATTCAGGGCTTAAATCCCTCCTGCCCGTGTAGACCACTGAGAACCTGCCCAGAGGGGGCCCTCGCCACCTTCCTGACCCAGTGCCATGAAGACAAAGCCTGGTGCAGATTCTCCAAACACGAACCCCATGGTTCTGAGGCTTGTGGGCCTCAGCCCAAAGGCCACCACCCTAGACGCCTTGCCAAACCTGCACAGGTGGACTCCAGCATTTGAATCCTTGCAGACAGATCATTCTTCTGTGCCTCCCACCTGGCCTATACTCTCCAAGCATGCTGTCCTCCTCCCGCCACAGCACGTATCATACATCATTTGGAACTGATGTTTTTGGTGTCTCCCTTCTCCACTAGACTATAAGTACTCTAAGATTTGAGACTGTGTCTGCTTTCTAGCTCCAGCACCTGGCACAACACCTGGCTAACAGGAGGGGATCAATAAGCATTAGTGGGGTGAGGGATGAGGTGAATCCCCAGGCATACAGAGCAAGCACAGTGCTGAGCACACAGCCAGCAAGCTTTCCATCAATGGCAGCCATTATTATTATTCCTGGCCTCCCTGGTCAGCACTGTGCTCCAATCCTCTTCTACTCTTCAATTGCATCTTAGCTCCCCTACCCTGACTCCTCTCTCTCTTCAACTTCTCCCTTTGTACTCAGGTCTCCCAACCCAGAATAAACTCTTGGAAACCCTCATCACTTCCCTAACCGCTTGTTCCCCTTCCTTGCCTTGCCTCCCACAGGCACGTCGCTCTCTGCAGCCCTCTCTAACTGGGCCAGCTATTCTCCTGTGCTCCAGGGACCACTGAGCAGAGAGATTAGGTAGATACTCCTTGCTGTGTACTCCTGTTTCCAATGCATTATTCCTTCTCCTTGCATAAAAACCCTCTTCACAGCTCTTAGCTTCACCTTCTCAGTGCTATCACCCGGTGGCTAAACCTCCTGGTTAATCCGTCACATTCGCTGAAGATCCTGATCTTTCCCCACCACAGATTCTGACATCATCCAGAGCAAATTCAGGCTTTCAACAGCCCAACAGACACTCTAACCTCACAGCAGTTTTCTTTCTCTCCTGCAGAGGAGACCACTCCCTTCTTCTACTACTCACAATGATGGTCACTCCTTGGACTTACATCACCTGCAATGTCCAGTATCAGAAACCTTCCAGTTCTTACACTCCAACACCACTTTCTGCCCAGAAGCTCGTATGCTACCACCTCGTTTGTGCTTCACTTCCACTCCAACAGCCACGTGACCAAACGGAGCTCTCCTGTCCTTTATGTCCTCCACTGACTCCTAGCTGACTGGCCCCTGATTCCATTCTTCTCCCTAAATGCACACTTCATGGCTGATTATCTGAAGCATTCTCTTATCAAACTGTCAACTTCTTTCATCCTTTGAACCTTGCCACATGTGCTAGACAATATCCCAGCCCGGGTCAGTCCCATAACCTGTATTCAGGAATCCCATAGTTAGGCTGCTGGGAAGAAAATAATCACGCAGTTGCCTAGCTTATTGCCATTGCAAATGTAGAGGTTCCAACCTCAGCACGTCCAGCGACCCTTTTCCCGGCCATTGTCTGTGCACCAGTCAGCTTCTCTGGTGATGACTCTAAGCCTCATCACTCTTTCCAAGCTTCCTGTTTAACTCCCATCCCCTTCATTCCTGTTGAACACAAGGATCACCTACCTGCTAGTTCAATCCACTTCGAGCAATGTAACTCACCACTCTCTCCTGTAAGCCATTCCTTTTCTACCGTCTGAATCTATTAGAGCAAGAAGTCTATGCATTATTCTAGACCAACACTTCCCAACAGAACTTTCTGCAGTGATGCGAATGTTCTAGATCTGTGATGCCCAAGACGGTAGCCCTGGTAACACGTTGCTAAATAAGACTAAACACCAGAAATGTGGCTACTGCAAGTGAGGAAATGACTTTTTTATTTTATGTAAATTTAAATAATTTCAATTTAAACTTAAATAGCCACATGTGGCTACCATATTGGGCAGCATAATTTCTGAATACTCCTTCTATCACTCTAAGTCAGCAGTCATAAGCCATGAATAAGTCTGCCAGTTTCCTCTGAAAAACATCAAAGTCTCTGCTTTCCAGCTTAACGCCAACCGCCCGAGTTGACCCTGCCGCTTTCTTACTAAAATTCTTCACTGTCTCCGAATTATCTTCATAACAAAGTTCACGCTCCTTGGCCGAAATCCAAGACATTTTATGTTCTGGCTGGGCCCTGGTTACTTTCTATCGCCTCATCTCATCCCTCATTACTCCCTGTCACTGAACTTTCACATTCCAAAAACACCGAACTACTTATTCTCTGTACATACGCCATGCTAGTTTCTATCTGGATCATCTACTTCCCCTTTCCATCTTTCTCACCTGGGTAATTCTCAATCCAGATGCCACCGCCTCAAGCAAGCCTTTCCCCAAACCCCAAGTAAAGCTAATACACTTTCCTCCTGAGCCCCCAAAGTACCCCATGCAGATCTCAACATGACCGCTGAGCACAGTAACCGGAAGTACCGGTGGGTGCACCGAACCCTCCACTACTCACTAAGAAGCGAGGGGGCCTGGCACGGTGACTGGCGTCCCTTAAGGACTCGAGACACATCTGTCATTCACGGCAGAAGCAGCTGAAGTACATGCTAGCACTGGGCCACTTCCAACGCTCACTCCCCCTCACCACCTCCCCATTTCAGTTTTTTCATCTCCCCAGTCAGAGTTTGGTTAATCGGAAGCAGAAGTGGTGTTATCTTAGCTTCGGGTTCGAGGGAGAAGTACAAATAAGTGACTTACAAAAGTCTCCCCAGTCTGTACCCTACCTTATTGCTAACTTCTCACTCTAACACAAGTTTATATAATGAAATACGATGATTTCTTAAAACTTACGGACTTCCTCACAACTTGAAATATTCGAATGACGAAATATTGAAGTATCTGGTAGCTCTCTAGGAAGATATGACAGTTTTTCAATTCCAAAGGCTTCTTCATAGAAATGGGCCAATAACGGTGGCATTTGATAACTCCATCTTCTAGCTCTCTGGTTATCATGACAATAACATTAGAGTTATTTTCCAAGACCATCTGCCAAAAGTCATCTGTGGTATCTGGTAGTGGTCCTTGGGTACCAATATAAAAATACTCTTCTCCAGAATTGATTATTCTAATATAACTAGCATTGATGTAGTCCATGTTTTTTCCAAGAGGAACACGTGTTGAATCATCTATTACAAAAACAAAAATATCTGGTCAATAAAGGAAAAGTGGGAGATACAATACACCCAAACTTCATGAAAGTATATCCCACAAATAAATCCATTTATCTCTTTGACAAATTGAGAAGATGGCATAGGAATTTCTTTTCAAAAGCATTATTTGAGTCCATGAATTTAAATTCTTCCCTCCCCAAAACCTACTGGCATGACTTAAGAAATATAAAATTAGGGGAGCTCTTCGTTTTTTGTTTTTCTAAATTGGTTTCTACTAAACACAGAAGAATGCCATCAGTATCCAGACACTTTGAAAGATTTCTGTTAGATATGGCACAGGTAGGATTAGGCCATGGAAGGTACCTGCAACTGAACACAGCAAAGGAGGAGCCCTCTGAGGGAGAAAGTGAAGGACATTCTCCTCCAAACCCAGGGAGCCTGCAAGCCCAGAGCAGGGGGGAGACAAGACTGTGACAGTTGACCAGATATAGATCTTGGGATTAATGTAATTCTACCGATGCCCCCACACAAGGCAGCCATCTTTTATGCCCATCCTCAGCCTTCACTTGGAGTGGCAAGCTAATCACAGCAAAGGTATGGTGGCAAAAGGATGCCTCAAAGGGAATTTGCTCCAAGTAACGTGGGACTTATCTAACACGGACTGTTATAACAAATATGAGAGGGGAAACCAGCTAATTGGCTCACTAATAACTTCTATTGGCTCAGGAGCTTTTTCTTCACTTTATATAGATATCTGGAGCTCTGGCTGCACCACTGCTCCCACAGAGAGAAGAAACGCCCTTGGCAAAGGGGGGACCTCCCTTGCCATGCAGCAGTCTCACCAATAGCCCCCCCCCCCCCCGACGACCACCACTCAGAGTCATGAGGACCCCTTATCTAGCAGACATGCTATGACCAAGACAAGTGAACAGGGCCTCATACAATTTCTGACAGAACTCTTCTCCAGTTCCAACATAGCAAACAAAACCTCCTCTTGTAAATATGAATAAACAGGAAAAACAATCACTAGATATATAAAAATATCCAGTACTTCACAAAAGGAGACCATTCCAAGAAGTCACAGAAAACGTTTTCCTTTCTATAAGAGGGAAGAATAGTTTAAAAACTCCTATTTGTATTTTAAATGAAATCTGAGAGAACATCGTTTTATCTTTTAAAAGGACAATTTACATCTGTGTTTATTGACATAAATATGTTATGTTATTAAACTATAAAGGACGCAATAAGAACATTATAGTGAGATCCTTCATCATATATATATACACACACACACACCCCCACACACATACATACATTCATTATATATAAACATATAATAAAAAAACCTGGCAAGTATTCATTAAAATGCTAGTAGTGGCTATTTTATTATCTACATTTTTATAGTGAGTATGTACTACTTTATAATAGAAAGGCATTTTTTACTTTCAAAAGGGAGATTGTGTGAAAATTAAACAATCTAAAATAATAAAAGCTTGCTTTCAGATAAAAACTACAATTGCTCAATAAAAACCCTAAAGTGAGAAGTAAACAGAAAAACAAACTAGTGATTTAGAAAACTGGCTCAAGAATTTTCCCAGAACTCAGGGGAAAAAAGATGAAAAAAAATGACAATAATGAGTAAAATGCTAAAAGAGGCAGAGCATATAAAGGGAATATATCAAAAGAATTTCAGAAGCAAACTATGGGATATACAGCAGTAACGAAATAACTCAAGTGATCACAGGAGAAAAGGTCCCCAGACAGAAGAGATAATAATAGAATTTAGTGCAAACACGCACAGCAGGTCTGAGCAGCGAGGTACAAACTCTGCATGTGTCACCTCCTCTGAACTTCAGAACAACCCTTTGATACTGGACACCCATTGGGTCAATGAAGAAATCAAAGGAGAACTCAAAAAACACTTGGAGACAAATGAAAATGAAGGCACGACATGCCAAAATCTATGGGATGCAGCAAAAGTGGTATTAAGAGTAAGTTTATAGCAATATAGGCCTATCTCAAGAAATAAGAAAAATATCAAATAAACAATCTACTCTTACACCTAAAGGAACTAGAAAAGAACAAGTGAAGCCCCAAATCACTAAAAGGAAGGAAACAATAAAAATTAGAGTGGAAATACATGAAATAGAGACTAGAAAGATAATAGAAAAGATCAATGAAACTAAGAGTAGGTTCTTTGAAAAGATAAACAAAATTGACAAACCTTTAGATAGACTAAGAAAAAAAGAGGCAAGGCTCAAATAAATAAAATCAGAAATGAAAGAGGAGAAGTTATAACAATACCACAGAAATACGAAGGATTATAAAAGAATACTATGAAAACTTATATGCCAACGAATTGGGTAACCTAGAAGAAATGGACAAATTCTTAGAATTCTACAACCTTCCAAATCTGAATCAAGAATAAATAGAGAATCTGAAGAGACCAATCATTACTAAGGAGATTGAAACAGTAATCAAAAACCTCCCCCAAAACAAAACGGCTTCCTCTGTGAATTCTACTAAACATTCAAAGAAGATTTAATACCTATCCTTCTCAAACTATTCCAAAAAATGAAGAGGCTGGGATGCTTCCTAATGCATTTTATGAAGCCAACACTCCCCTGACACCAAAATCAGACAAGGACAACACAAAAAAGGAAAATGACAGGCCAATATCACTGATGAACATAGATGCAAAAATCCTCAACAAAACATTAGCAAACTGAATACAACAATACATTAAAAGGATCATACATCACAATCAAGTGAGATTTATTTCAGATGTGCAAGGATGGTTCAACATTCATAAATCAATCAATGTGATACACTATGTTAACAAAATGAAGAATAAAAATCACATGATCATCTCAATAGATGCAGAGAAAGCATTTGACAAGAGTCAGCATCCATTTATAATAAAAACTCTGAAAAATGAGTATAGAAGGAAAGTACTTAAACATAATAAAGGCCACATATGACAAACCCACAGCTAACATAATACTTAATGGTGAAAAACTGAAAGCTATCCCTCTAAGAACAGGAATAAGACAAGGATGCCCACTTTGCCACTCATATTCAATGAAGTATTGGAAGTCCTAGACGGAGCAATTAGGCAAGAAAAAGAAACAAAAGGGATCCAAACTAGAAAGAAAGAAGTAAAAGTGTCACTATTTGCAGATGTCATGACTTTACATATAGAAAACCCTAAAGAATCCATCAAAAAAACTATTAGAAATAATAAACAAATACAGTAAAGTTGCAGGGTACAAAATCAACATGCAAAAATCAGTTGTGTTTCTACACACTAAGAACAAAGTAGCAGAAAGAGAAATCAAGAATACAATCCCGTTTACAATCACAAAAAAAGAATAAAATACTTAGGAATAAATAACAAAGGAGGTTAAAGACTTGTACACTGAAAACCATAAAACATTGTTGAAAGAAATCGAGGAAGACACAAAGAAATGGAAAGATATTCCATGCTCATGGATTGGAAGAATTAACATAGTTAAAATGTCCATATTACTTAAAGCAATCTACAGGTTCAGTGCAAACCCTATCAAAGTCCTAATGGTATTTTTCATGGAAATAGAACACAGAATCCTAAAATTTATATGGAACAACAAACGACCCAAACAGCCAAAACAATCCTGAGACAAAAGAACCTACCAAATGGGAGAAGATAATTGCAAATCATATATCCAACACGGAGTTAATATTCAAAATATATAAAGAACTTATACAACTCAACAACACAAAACCAACCTGATTGAAAAATGGGCAGAAGATCTCAACAGACAGTTTTCCAAAGAAGATATACAGATGGCCAACAGGCACATAAAAAGGTATTCAACATCACTAATTATTAGGGAGATGCATATCAAAACCACAATGAGGTATTACCTCATGCACGACAGAATGGCTATTATCAAAAAGACAAGAAACAAGTGTTGAAGAGAATGTGAAGAAAAGGGAACCCTTGTACACTGCTGGTGGGCATGTAAACTGATGCAGCCACAATGGAAAACAGTATGAGGATTCCTCAAAAAATTAAAAATAGAACTACCATATGACCTAGCTATTCCACTTCTGGGTATTTATCCAAAAACATGAAAACACTAATTAGAAAAGATATATGCACCCCTATGTTCACTGCAGCGTTATTCACAATAGCCAAGACTTGGAAACAACCTGAGTGCCCATTAACGGATGAATGGATAAAGATGTGGTATATACACACAATGGAATACTACTCAGCCATAAAAACAATGAAACCTTGCCATTCGCGACAACATGGATGGACCTTGAGGGTGTTATGCTAAGCGAAACAAGTCAGATGGAGAAAACCAAACACCGTATGATTTCACTCATATGTGGAAGACAAGACAACAACAACAACAAAGAAATACATAGACACAGAAAACGAATTGGTGGTTACCAGAGGGGAATGGAGGTGGAGGGATGGTGAAAGGGGTGAAAGGGGACATCTGGACAGTGACAGATGGCAACTAGACTTTTGGTGGTGAATACAATGCATTCTGTATACAGAAGTCAAAATATAATGATGTAACCTGAAATTCATATAATATTATGAACCAATCTTACCTCAATAAAAAATTTTTAAAAAAACAATCCTTTGAAGGAGGTATATTATTATTCATGCTTTTCAGATGAGGAACATTTACTCAAAGCAGCTAAGTAATTTGTTCCATATGATGCACAAACTTTTCTAAACTCCACATTCCACAAATAATTTCATGATCTGCCTTCCCTCTTCAAGGAAGACTCAGGTTTGCAGATGGAAAGGCCTCACCAGGTGCCAGATGACATTAATGAAGAGAACCACCAAGACCTCAAGACCAGCAGAGCATAAGGTCACAGAGACAAGAAGCAAAAACTGTGGATTACCAGAGGTATTAGTGAGCGGTGCCACTCCCATTTCCAGCCCTTGACTCCTGAATCCTGGCTATGGAAGAAACAGCACCAATTTGGAGCATATACAACCTCCTAGA